CAAGTTGGTGAAGGTCTGGTTCTGACCTAGGGGGCTGTGGTGGTTCCACCCCCAAAGGCCATGGTCCTACCCTTAAGGCTGAGGCAGCTCTGCTTCCGTTTCCTTGGTCTCTCCACTTCTGCCGATCAATGCCCGAGGGCAACCCACTCCACCAGGAATCTTGCCCCAAAGGACATTTAGTTTACTTGCTCTGTGGGCCGTGGGCTGGCCAACCTGCTACTCCATTTCAAGCTGGTCTCTTCCACTAATTAATGCCTGAAGGCAACCCACTCCACCCGGAAGCTGCCTAACCAAAGGCATCAAGCTTTCTCCTCTGTGGGCTGGTAAGGCTGTCGCTGTCTCATGCCGGTTCTCTGGGCTCTGCTCCTGCCGTCTGTCATGCCATATACCGGGGTCTCTCTGCCAGGGGCTTGGGTCAAGGACACACTCCACTCCTGTTTCCACATTTTAGGCATCTGTCAGAGCAGCACCCCACTCTTTCGGTACCAAATTCTGTTCTGGTTCCTAGTGCTCAGACACTCAGACAGCTGCTGGTGGCCGAGACTGACAAGCCCAACGTTGACAAGTCAAAAGGCATAGTCCCAATATTACCAAATCACACGGCAGGCCATTGATTCAAGTCCATTGTAAGTCCCAAGGTTGGCAGAGCATGGTAGGCTACTGAATGACGACTCGGCTACATGTAGGGTTCAAGTGTGCCATAAGCTAGAGACCTTTCTCAAAGCTGCTTCTTATATACGGGAAGCAGACCCCATCCCAAAGGCAGCTACTCAGCTGCTTGTGGTAGATCCCGCCATGGAGCTGACTGCCAGACTCATCGTGGGAAATAACTACCACCAGCTGCCCAGCCTCTCAACCAGGCCCAGCCGAGTTGACACACAAACTTCACCACCACTCAAGTCAACCTGGAAAGGCTCCTTGCAGGCCTCCGACGCTTAGTTCACGCTGACAGATCTTAAGGAGAAGCATGCCGACAGATGTTATGGAGAAGGTGTGTGACGAGCAAGCAGCCAAGCCGCTCCCAGGACGTGGGCAAGAGAAGGCTGGGTGCTGAGAAGAGTCCACGTGATGCTTGGCAGCCCTCAGAGAGCTCCGGGCTGCAGCAGTCCCCGGCCACAAGCTCTGCACTTCCCTGGGTCGC